CCTATGTAATAAAAGCCATATATGCTAAGTGTCTGGTCATCCAGTGACCGGTGGACTGTTCAACCAATCAAAGTGTAATATGCTAATGATATACTAAGGCTGCTCAATCGCTAGCTATGACAAGCAATGACCACTGGGGAGACAGTTGAAGCAATGACCACTGGGGGCAGACAGTTGACTGGTCGACCTGTTGTTATGATGTGCATGGCCAGGGGGCAGGTGCTCTGACTGGTGGGTTAGCCTGCTGCTGGGGTCTGGCCAGTCAGGACTGAGCGAGATGGGCTGAACACGCCCTGGAGCCCTCCCACAGTCCCTCCCAGGCTGGCCAACCTCCGGAACCCCTCCCCAATCTGCCAGCCCCAATCTGCCCACCCCAGATCGGCCTGATCAGGACTGGGCTAGACAGGGCTGGACATGTCCTGGAGCCCTCCTGCCGTCCCTCTCCAGCTCTGATCGTGCACTGGTGGGGTCCCTCTGCCTGACCTGCGACCTCTCACAATCCACGACCCCTCAGAGGATGTTGGAGAGCCAGTTTCGACCTGATCCCGCAAGCCACTCCCTTCGGGGGGGCGGCAGACACAGAGCTCATGCCTGGTGGGCGCTGCTGTGGCAATGCAAACCTCTCCCAATCGGGACTGATTAGGCGCGTACCAGGACAGGCACAGTGGTGTCGGGATGTGTGGGAGTAGCAGGTAGGAGCTGCAGGTGGTGTTGGACTGCGGCTTTCGTCCCGATATCTGCAGGCCACCCCAAGGAACCCCGATCCGTGCACGAATTCCTGCACCAGTCCTCTAGTTTATAATAAAGCTTTTCAGTAGTAGTTATAAACATATTAATAATGAAAGTCCACTCACTCAAGAGGAGACTGACTGCATTGTGTTAGAGGAAAGAGCCAGTTGTGTTTCCCTCAGCAGCAACCTTCGAAGTTATCTCTAAGGAGGAATGTGGCAGTTTTAAAATCAAAGTGGCTATGGGCCTGCTCCCTCCTCCCCCTCCCTTTTCATCAGCTTTCCACGTGACAGGCGGGGATATTCACCAGCCTCACATATAGTTTTAAAAAAGTCTTTGGTAACTTAAAACATTGCTGAATTAAATCATAAAAATTATTAAATATCTAGGTATTTTAAAATGACTAAACACTGAAATATTAATCTGAGTTTGCCTCATATGAAAAGTCTAAAAATATAGATTTGAATCTATTACTTAAATATGTCTTGTATTCTATTTGAAATGTAGCCTTAAAAATATAAATATATTACTAATCTAAGAAATGCTAAGTATTTAATTTGCCACCTAAAATTTGAAGCTTCTAAGAGTTTAAAGTTCATGTTAAGTTATAGAAATTTTATGTTTGTGATAGCAAAATACATAAAGTATAGTAATTCATCTTTGAGAAAAATAATTCTTGTATTCTCTCTCGAAAAATTAGTAGTTCAAAATATATTGTAGTCCTTATATGTACTACATGTAGTAAAATTTCAACCTAGGATATAATTTTTTATTAGCCTGATTAAAAAAAAGGATTAATTTTATGGTATGAACCAAATGTTTAATATAAAAACCATTTTAAATTTAATTGATATCTTTTATTTTATTATTTTTTTTATGGTTTTATTGCTTAAAGTATTACAAAGAGTATTACATATGTCTCCTTTTTTCCTGCCCTTAACAATCCCCCGGCCTCCTCTATGCCCCAGTGTCTTATGTCCATTGGTTATGCTTATATGCATGCATACAAGTCCTTCGGTTGATCTCTTACTCTCCACTCCTGCCTTTCAACCTTCTCTGGCTTTGCCGCTGTAGTTTGACAGTCTGTTCAAGGAGCTCTGCCTCTGTATCTATTTTTGTTCTTAAAGTTTATAATGGTCTTTATTATCCACGAGTGAGTGAGATCATGTGGTGTTTTTCCTTCATTGACTGGCTTATTTCACTTAGCATAATGTTCTCCAGTTCCATCCATACCGTTGCAAATGGTAAGAGTTCCTTCTTTTTTACTGCAGCATAGTATTCCATCGTGTAGGGTCAAATGGGAGTTTCATTTTTAGTTTTTTTTTGTTTTTTTTTAACAATTTTTATTTATTGAAGTATTATAAAGAGTATTACATATGTCTCCTTCCCCCCGCCCCCTTGACATTCCCCCGGCCTTTCTACCCGCTAGTGTCTTGTGTCCATTGGTTATTCTTATATGCATGCATATAATTCCTTTGGTTGATCTCTTAACCCCTCCTCAAAACCCTCCCCAGGCTTCCCACTGTAGTTTGACAGTCTGTTCAATGCTGCTCTGCCTCTGCATCTACCCCTGTTCATCAGTCTATACTGGTCCCCATTATCCGTTGCAACCTCACCAGGGCTGTCCCAACCTCACTGGGGCGGCCCCGACTGCACCAGGGTTATCTCAACCTCACTGGAGCCGTTTTGGCCTCACCAGGGCCGTCCTAACCTCACTGGGGCTGTCCCGACCTTATCGGGTCATCCCGACCTCACTGGGGCAGTCTTGACCTCACCGGTGCCATACTTCACCGGGGCTGTCACGGCCTCACCGGGGACATCCTGACTCACTGGGGTTGTCCCGACCTCATCGGGGCTGTCTCGACCTCACTGGGGCCGTTTGACCTCACTGTGGCCATTCGGCTTCACCAGGGCCGTCCCAACCTCACTGGGGCCATCCCGACCTCACTGGGGCTTTTTCAATGTCATCGGGGCTGTCCCAATCTCACCAGGGCAACACAAAGTTTGGCACTCTGTTCCCTGCTGGGCAGCTCCCCGCCAAACAAAATCTCCAGGCTTTCCTGGTGGCTGAACATCCAGCACACCTGCTCGGACTTCACCCTCCACCAAATGTACAGACTGCCCA